GTAGACGTTGCGGGATATCGGACTTTTTCAAAGTGATGGTGCTACAACAACTTAGCAAAAACAAAATGAAACTTCCAATCAGAACTATGGTAGCACTTTAGCCCAATTCACACAACTAATCGTTATATGGCCCCACTGAAAAGAACTGAACCCCACAAACTGACATGCCTGAACCACTGTTCAGAATTTGAGATTTTCTGTATAGATCTCATACATTGCACATAGCAAGAAAGAGAACAAACGCCCCTATGGGGGGGTTGGGTTACCCTGTCCTAGCTTGAAATGATCTAGGGCTTTACTATTCAAACAAGTGGTATCATACATCCTAGAAATGGGAGAGCATCCTGTCGCATGCACAAGTGCAATGATCAATCATGTAACAACATGGCATGCTCAATGCTACGAACTACATGACATACTCAATGCGCAATGGACTTAAACCGAAATGAATAGGCCTCAGCCATGTCCAAATCAGCTGCCATTGATGATGAAATCAAGGCACCAAAACACACACAACATGTATAATGTAATGGCCCAAGCCTAAGGCACAAAATACAACTCTCCAAGAGCATTGAAAAGATGAAACATGGAGTACAATGGCATGTGTTCCAACACTGAAATGGCATACAAAAGGACTTTGAATCATGCAAACAACTCACGCAATGCATGTTGAAAGGCTCAAGTATCGAAAGCTAGTGAAGCATATTACACTAGAGGCATGCAAGGCGATGCTCAAATGACCAAACCAACCCCAAACAGACCCTATGCAGGCCAAAACAGTAGCAAAAAAGAGTTGGGATGATGGCTTGAAAGGCACAAAAATGAGGTTCATGCAATGGCTCACAAATAGGGCATAAAAGCACAACTCTAAAGAGCACTTGAAGAGTGGAAAATATGGAAGTGTAGCAGCCCTACATGTTCTGAAATAACATTCTCAATGATGCCAAAACATGCAAATACCTCTAGTTAAGCATGCAAGGGACCTCAAAACTCAAAACTAGTCAAGGCTATTACACTATAAGCATGCATGGCAAGCATCATTCGACCAAGGAGCCTCAAAACAGAGCTAAGGTAGCCCAAAATATAAACAAAACCATGTTGGAGCACAGCCAAAATGTGCTAGAATAAAGAGCCAAAACATCATGCAAACAAAGCTAGTCAACAAGATTTGTTCTACAAGTATATGAGCCACTCAAGAGACAATCAAAATAGATTTAGATAGAGTTATGACATGCCAAATGATGGTCAAAAACCCACTAAAATGGAGTCAATACATGCTAGCAAGACATGCTACTTTGATGGGCCACAAATGGGATTACACTACACATACTAGATGCATGCACAAGGTGACCGAACCAGCCATGGACAGACTTAAGGCAGGTCCTAAAAGTCACAAAAAAGTGTCTGAACCAAGCCTCAAAAGTAAAGGGATACATGCTCCATTGATAGGCCAAAAATGCAAGCAAACAAAACCAAAAGAGAGGGGGTCACCCCCCTCTGGTTTTAGGCCTCAAAACCAAATGCCTACCACTAAAAATCCACTGGATTTCAGTGGCTAGAAGGCCAAGCAAGGACTAGCTCAAAGGCCCTAAGGCATGGCACAAAACAAGGCCAAACAAGGCATGCAAGAGGGTAGGAGACCCTCAGCACCCAAGAGGCCTTAGAAAAACATGTTAAGTGCTAAAAAATGAAGCTTTTTTTAGTTGAAAACAAAGCTCAAATAAGCATGCAAGTATGGCTAAGAGAATGATCAAGACAAAGCTTAAAAGGGGAGAAAAGAGGTTACCCTTGAAGCACTGCAACAACAGCTTCTTTCTCAGCCAAAAACCAGCCTTTTAACCCCCAAATATGTCCTCCAAGAACCTCAGCTCAATGATGGGGGTGTGTTGTTAGGAGTTGTGGTGCAAAAGTGAGGAACAACACACTTTTTAGGCCCCAAATATAGAGATATAGAGGGAGATATATGCTTATGCCTTAGGAAATTTTCTGAACCTGTGGAATGGAGAGGGAGACCCTCTCTTACAGAAAAACAAAGGGTTCAAGCTTCTTGGAGAAGCTAAACTTGGATGCAATCCCTCCATACGTGTATGGAGGATACAGTCTGTGCCCTCCAGCTGGCATAGCTGGCATCCATACAGTCTGCCAAAATAGGAGGAAAGCTGCCGACCAGCAAAGGTGGTCGGCCTGCTACTTTTAGTGGTCAGCCGACCACCCAAAGTGGTTTCCCAGGAAAAAGTGGTCGGCCAGGGGAAATGGTGGTCTCCACACTGAAAGAAAGCCAATGGTGGGGTGGAAAACCAGAAAATGTGGCCCAAAGACCAAGAAAACCAGTTTTTCGACCAGAAAATCGGCTGGCGGGGAGAAAAGGGGTCTCCAAGGATAAAAGTTGGTCTCCCACCCTTGTACCACTTCCCAAACATGTGAAGTAAGGTTTGTACCCAAGACAAACCAAAACAGATGCAAGACGAGGGTTCGGGAGGCAAGACGGGCGGCCGGGAGCCCCGAAACCAGCTGCCGAGCATCAAAAGTGGTCTCCCCGACCACAAAAGTGGTCTCCCCGACCACAAAAGTGGTCTCCCGGACCACAGTGTCCCTCTAGGGAGAGGAAGCAAGGTGTGGTTCAAGAACCAAGCCAAATGGAGAACGTTAAGCGGTCCTGAACCGAGGCACACGGCCGACGGTTCCGAAAACCGAAAACTAGTCTCCAAATGGGAACAGTAGCCTACGACCACGAAAAGTAGCCTACGACCACTAAGAGATGGTCTAAAAGACCTCTCCCTCCCTCCGGGAATAGAAAACAAGACTTAGTCCGCAAACCGAGTCAAAGCACAAAGAGTTCAGAGGCCCGGAGGCAAGGCTCTCAGCCGAAACTCCGGAAACTCGAAACGAGCACAACATGCACTATCACTGAGCGCTCAATCGGTGACGTCTGAGTCTTAAGGTCGGTCAAAAATGGGGTGTCTACAATAACCTAACAGGTTAAGTTATAGAAACCTTCTCATACTAAGAAGATAACCATTTTGCTTTTCTTCAGTGAAAGGAAAATTGGCAAACAGTGATGTTTTAATCTGTTTCATTTAGATTCCGGAGAATAAAGAAAATCTACTAAGAACAAAAAAGGTTAAGTTTTCATGCAAGCTGCAAAGCAAGGCCAACGTGAAATTTCCTTAATCATGTTAGCTTCAGAACTCAGGTATTTGATTGCTTTTATTTGAAGCATAGTAAGTTAGTTATTCTCCATTTTCACCATTAATGTAAGCCTAAATTTTAGGATTAGGCTTCAATTTCCATGTTTCATATAAATCTATTTTCGAACTAATTTTGCCTTTATTAACTATATATTGTGCATTAAGGAGTGGTTACAATTCAAGGTGTGATTTTCTTTTCATGCCAGAGGTTGTCCTTCATAGTGTGAGTTCGCATTGGCATAAACATATTGTAGCATTCTTTTTTGGGTTGAATCATGTTACAATTTGTGATTAGATGTTTAGGTAGTGATATTCATACTCGACCTACGTCCATAAGTTGTCTCTTCAAATTTAGTGTTATGAGTATGTATTTATGTGATGAACGAGAGATTTTCTGAATGTGGGTGTTTACAAGTGGTGGAGGTGAGAGTTCAGAACCTAGATTACGAGGGATTGCTGCAAAACATAAAAAATTATCTCTAAGCTCAAAGGTATAATTTTTTCTGTAGTAATGTTATGCACATAAAAAAAAACAAAAAAGATATATAAAAAAGCATTCAAGAAACAAAATGGGTGGAGTTTATTATAAATGTTATTCACACTTATAAATGTTATTCACACCACACCAAATGTGGTTTGATGTAGTTGCTTTTTTAAAAATGCTTTCTAAGAAATATCTTATTATAGAATCACTTTATTCTACATACAAAGAATTTCAATTTTGGCTTGTGAATTTTGTTCACAAGTCATTCTATTGAAAATCAAACCCCAATTCACAAACCAAGAGTTACTGGAATGATCAAGAATGATGAATAAGCATGAAGAAGAAGGAAGGAGAAGCTTCATGGAAGCCCTCCTTGTTGACTATCAAAAGCTTCACCATGAATCAAAGAAGAAAAACGTGGGAATTGAGCCGGTTATAGCTCACCACCATCAAGTATTCACACTTGAGGATTTGCCTATAAATAGATTACATTAGTTATTGTATTTAAATAAAAATTCAATTTGTAAAAGAGGTACTACATGTATCCAAATTCATTTCAAAAAAAAAAAAAAAAAAGCAGAGTGTTTGTTCTTCAATTAAATTCTCAAAAAATACATTAGGATCTCATTCCCATATCCCATCAGTGGTATCAAAGCCATAAGAGCTAATGTGGCCTGAAATTGTAGAATTTCTGCAAAAGAGAAGAAGAACAAAGCAATTTTTAGAATTGCCCAGAAATAAAAGTTGTGGAAATCAACTTTTGATCATACCAATGTGTGAGTCAAAAAGGATGGAAAGAGACATTAGTTTATCCTATTTTCCCTTTGCTTGCTACTTGACAAGGTGTGCATCATCTCGGCATGATCATTTGTTACTTGCATACATGTCTATTTGTTCATTTTGACTTAAAGTCACATTTTTGCATACTCCTAGCATCATAAGAAAGGGTAGACCTCCAGTTAGCCGAGATCAATCCGAGGACAGGTTGGACAGATTGGAAAGGATGGTTACTTGCATACATGTCTATTTGTTCATTTTGTTTTAAAGTCACATTTTTGCATACTCCTAGCATCATGAGAAGGGATAGACCTCCAGTTAGTCGAGATCAATCCGAGGATAGGTTGGACAGATTGGAAAGGATGGTAGAGAGTTTCGCCCATGGGTTGAGGCAAGCAAAGCAACAGAACACCGGTACCACATCTACTCAGGCCGAGCAGACAGATGGCCGACATGCAGTTCCACCTCCACCTCCCCCAATACCACAAGTGCCTCCGCAGCCAGCTTTGTATGGGGATGGCACGTTGACCTTGATTAAAGAATTCAAAAAGATGAATCCGCCGAAATTCCAAGGAGGTATAAAGCGGATGAAGGCAAAAGCATGGGTTCTTGAGATGGAGAAGTTGTTCGAGATTTTCCCCAGCACTGACACTCAGAAGGTGTCATTGGCAGCATTCACATTGGATGACGACGCCCGTAGATGGTGGATGATGATCCGAGAAGGCAACCCAGGTTTGACTTGGGCCAGATTTTTGGAGTTGTTCTACAACAAGCACTTTCCTCTCAGTGTCCGAGATCGCAAGACCACAGAATTCCAGATGTTGACGCAGGGTAACAAAGCAGTGGCTGAATATGATCATGCTTTCACCAAATTGACAAGGTATGCACCCTACATGGTCAACAACGAATACAGGAAAGCTAGGAAGTTTGAGAGTGGACTTCGGGACCCAATACAAGATCGAGTTAATATGCTCAACATGCCGACATATGCCGGAGTGTTAGATAAAGCCATCCTGGCAGAAGCTAACTTGAGCAGAAGCCAGAGTTCAGGGGAGAATCAGAGAAAGAGGCAGGATTATGACAATCGCCAAGCACCATCCGATGTCAACAAGAAGGTAAATGTGGGCAGTGCCAACAACGCGAATCAGGAAGGTGGCACTAGGCCGACATGTTCAAGTTGCGGGAAGCAACGTTTTGGGGTTTGTTATCGGGTATCTGGAGCATGTTTTGAATGCGATAAGATGGGTCATCGTATTAAGGATTGTCCCAAGGTAAAGGCTAGAGACGATAAGAAGAAATGAGAACCCGACATCCGGAGTTGTTTTGGGGACAAAGTAAGTTAAGTTTGGGGACCAAACTTCTTTAAGGGGAGAAGGATGTAACAACCCTCACTTTGCCTTAGTCATGCTCACATGCATTTATATGATTTTGTCTTGTCAAATTGCATTCATAAAATCCTGTATTGTTTTGGAAAAGATCTCGGATATCATTCATTCAAACCTTTATTACTTATACCATTCACTGAATATCCAAGTTCACCCTCTCCTTATATATATGTTGAGCAGGAAGGCGGCGATGCCGAGGTGTATTTTGCAAGCTTGTTTTGGACTCATACTTTTGCTAGCATCTTGAAGATTATGCTTCTTGGCTTGTAGTTTATTTCTTTTGTTTATGTCGGCTTGAGAAGCCTTTTGATCAAGATGTATTATGTATTTATTTTAATTGTATTCAAGTTGTAAAGCCACGTTATGTATGATATTTCATTTAATCTATGCACAGCTCTTATGGACTAATTAGATTGAATTTTATTGCTTCCGCATATGTAAGCCCCATATGTATATTCTGATTGTGTGTGAATCCTTGTAAGTTGGCCTTTGGTAATCTCGGATTACTGGCCATCATGGCAACATTCTACTAGGGACGGAGTGGGGTCGTGACAATAAAGAAGTGAAATTAATCCCTTGTTAGTCTCAAAACCAAATAGCAGATATCTTCACAAAGCTGTTAACACATGAAGTGTTCAAAAGACTAAAGATACTACTTGGAATAAAGAAACTCAGCAAATTGGGTTTAAGGGGGAATGTTGAAAATCAAACCCCAATTCACACACCAGGAGTTATTGGAATGATCAAGAATGATGAAGAAGCATGAAGAAGAAGGAAGGAGAAGCTTCATGGAAGCCCTCTGTTGTTGTTGACCATCAAAAGTTGCACCACGAAGCAAAGAAGAAAAAAGTGGGAATTAAGCTGGTTACATCTCACCACCATCAAGTACTCACACCTGAGGATTTGCTTATAAATAGATTACATTAGCTGTTGTATTTAAATAAAAATTCAATTTGTAAAAGAAATACTACATGTATCCAAATTCATTTCAAAAATAAAAAAACAGAGTGTTTTTTCTTCAATTAAATTTTCAAAAAATACATTGGGATCCCATTCACATATCCCATCACATTCATCATTGGCTAAGATTATAATTTGCTAACTTAATTTATTTATTTTTTAGGTTGGTGCAGATCAAGATTGCTTTTTTTTACTATGATTCCAGTGTGTTTTTTGTAAGAGCATTTGCCAGCTTGTTTATTTAAAAGAGCATTGGCCCGATGCATAAATTTTATCAGAAAGATGCTTTTTGACATGGTTTTATGAGAGCCAATATTTTGATGGTTTTATTAACTTTTTTTGGGTATGGTTTGTGTGGTTAATAGAAACAAGGTACTTACAAAATGTCTCAATATATGATGTGGGGTCCATCCAAATATTGGCTCTCATAATATTGGCTCCCATTTTTCAGCCAAAGCACAATGGAAAGCCACATCCACACTAAAAGGCCCATTTTCAAACCTCTCAAAAATCGACAAACCTTTAGAGTTTAGGAAGGCAATAAGGTGGTGGCATCAAGAGAGAATGAGAGGGATTGGGGGTAGTGTTAGAATCCAACAATTCTCTATGTAATGTGTGTGTAATTTAAATGTATAAAGAAATAAATAACAATGTGAAAATAATTCAAAAAATAATTATGAAAATTAAATTCTGAATTTAATGCTTACAGTGCTTAATACGCGAAAACTTTAAGTCCAAATTCGTGTTGGACACAATCTCCTTAAAGTAGATTTTGCCCTCGCTCCATGCTTCAAGATTAATCAGTGTCTATTTCCCAGGATGCAGTGACTTAACCTTGGAAATATAGCACTAAAACTCCAAGCATGGCGCACCAAACCAGTGTTATAACTCTCTCTTTCTCAAAAACTCTTCCTAAAACTATTTGTAAAAAATATGCAGCAACAAAGGAGGACGAAGAACACGAAAGAAAGAAATGAGAATGAAAGAAATTTGTGATCGAATGAATGAAGATTTGAGGAAATCGTGAAGGTTATTTATAGAACAATTCATGGCCATTCAGAAAGGTCATGACTCTTGGGTCATATCCTTTCATATAAAAAGACGTCGTGAAAGGTTGCACCTTTTCATTCGAATGAAGAAGGGTCATGACTCTTGAGTAATTTGCTTTCATATGAAAAGGCACTATTGGGTCACACCTTTTTATATGAATGGAGTCAATTCCTATTCACTTCTAAAATTTTTCAACATTCCACGACATGAATGGAATTCACAATAGCGAACATGTAACAAAATGAAGACAAAGAAAGAGTATACTAAGAAGATACACTACATCGAGATAGGTAGCTTTTGGCTTTAAACCTCTCCTATCGGACTTACTAGCTAATCAGTGGACACGATGCCTTGAACTGTTCAACTGTTTATGTAAGCTAAGACAATAGACTACACACAATTTATCCCCAAACACAGTTTGATTCTCAAGATTGTGTTCATTTTGGCCCTGAACAACGCTTGGTAATTCATGAGTGCTCTAGGGAATTTAGCCTTCTCAATTCTCATAGAACCGGCCCAGTTCACACTCATATAGCTAACTTCTTATTAAGAGTATCCTGCCATATCCCACCTGGATGTCCATGATATAAAAATCATTAAAAGCAAAGCTTATCTCCAACGTTGCAGGTATCGCTCTTCTTATCATAAAAATAAATAGGAGTGAATCTCTTTAGTGATACGTGAAGTCATCCATAATTTGGTTTTCCCTTTGAACCTAGATCTTGGGATCTCCAGTCAAATAGATTGGATTTCCATTATGGGTATTTGGTTTTAATCTCATTCCTTTCAATAAACGGTACACTTGCTCTCTGGCTAGCCCTTTGGCCAACAGATCCACAATGTCCTCTCTTGACCTTACATACTCTATGGAAATTATTCCATATAAGAGAAAATGTCGAACGATACTATGTGTTCGATGAATGTATTGATACTTACCGTTATACATATGACTCTACACCCATCTCATCGCTACTTCACTGTCACAGCGAATGCATATAGTTGGCATAGGTTTAGGCCATATTGGAATGTCTTCTAGGAAATTATGAAGCACTCTACTTCTTTCCCCATTTTATTTGATGCAATAAACTCATATTCCATTATAGACCTCGCTATGCATGTCTGCCTAGTGGATTTCCAAGAGATTAGAGCACCTCCTAGGATAAAGACATATCCACTCATAGATTTTGAGTCTTTAGTATCTGATATCCAATTAGTGTCGTTGTACCCCTCTAGTACTACTAGATATTTTGTATAACGTAAGCCATAATTCCGGGTATGCCTTAGATATCTAAGTATCCTAATTATTGCTTTCCAGTGATCTGTCTTTGGATTACTTGTGTACCTACTCAATTTGCTCACAACATAGGCTATATCTGGCCTAGTGCAATTCATTAGGTACATCAAGCTTCTGATAATCTGAGAGTACTCTAATTGTGATATGCCTACACCTGTATTATTTGACAAATGAAGACTAATGTCAACAGGTGTTTTTGCAAGACATTTGTCATACTTCCTAAATTTCTCTAACATCTTCTCAACGTAGTGAGACTGAGATAAAGTATATCCTTCAGATGTTCTAGTGATTTTCATCCCTAGAATTGCATCTACTACTCCCAGATCTTTCATGTCAAACATCTTGTTTAACATTTTCTTCGTGGATTTAATAATGTCATTATTGTTGCCAACAATAAGCATGTCATCCACATAAAGGCAAACTGTGACATAGCATTTGTTTATGTTTTTAACATAAATACACTTGTCACATTCGTTTAGACCACACAAGGCACTTTTATGATCATCTTAGGATCCCTACTAGACTTTATGTTCATCCTACATTGTTAATCATTTTTCAGGTGTATGTCGAGAAATGATTCAAGACCAAGGATCTTCATTATCTGTTGGCCATGGGACCTTTTATATATAAACTGAATGCCATTATTAAAAAAGGGTTAAACCGTTGCTCTTTTATGTAATGATATAAACCTGTGGGTAATTTATTTAATTATGTCACATGGTTGCTCTTTTATGTAATGATATAAACCTGTGGGTAATTTATTTAATTATGTCACATGCTGCATTTATTTTGTATACGAATGAGAGAACCTTTTTTTACTTATCTTTATTAAGATATTGAAACTTTTGTTTGCTATCTCTGAAATTGTAACATAATAATGATTCGTTAATGTTATCCAAATAAATAAAAGTGGGGTGTTTCAACTTGGTATCAAAGCGAGCCGAGTATGAATACTTTTGGCTTGTGGGAAGTGATTTTTACCACATCGGGTTTGCTATGCTTGGTGGGGATGTTGCATATAGTAAGGATAAGTGTTAGGATTTATATGTTGAATTTATGTGAGCACGGGGTTAAGTTTCTAGATAGTACTTGCAAACTATGAACTTGCTTTGAGGTCTTATTAGAAGCACACCTGATCAACGTGGTTCCTAATGAGAATTCCTTGAGAGTTCCAGGACGAGTGGCTATCCTTGTGGACTTGATTCAATTATGTGATTAAGTGTTTAATTGTTTATATGTAGTACAACTGTGTGTTTGGGGGTCAGTGTGTATTGTAGCCTAAAGGTGATGAGTGTGTGCCTCGGGGAAGGCTGTTGTGTTGTGCACTAATTTTGGTCTTTTTTTGACTTTATAGGGTGTCTACGCGAGGGAATAGAGGACAAGTTGGGAATAGGAGTGCTAGTAGGGGCACTGCTATTCCTTTAGCACCTGTCGTTGCAGTATTAGCTGTCAGCGAGAAAGTTACATACAAGATCGTGAGAGAGGTGCGGGATGCTCTAGCTTGGAATAAGGGTGACAACGGGCGTACCCTCAAGCTTACTAAGAAGTTTCTTTGTTCCAATCCACCCGAGTTTTTGCGAGAGGCTAAACCATTGGAGGCAGAGGATTGGTT